TTTTGTATCATCAGCAAACTTGATGAGGTACATTCTATCTATTCATCCGGGCTGTTGATAAACAAATTGAGTAAGACTGGACCCAGTATTGATCCCTGGGGAATGCCACTGACTACAGGAATCCAACTGGATTCTCCTCCACTGATCATGACCCTCTGAGCTCTGCCAGTCAGTTCTTGATCCACATAACTGTTCTTCTAACCCACATTTCCTGAGCTTACTTCCGAGGATGTTATGGGAGACAGTGTGAAAAGCCTTCCTAAGGTCAAGGTAGACAACATCCCCTGCTCTTCCCTCATCAGCCTATCCTGCCTGTCACAGAAGGCTGTCAGATTGATCAAGCATAATTTCCCCTTGGCTTTCCTCCACTCATTGGGCAACTCTTCCATTCTCCATGATTTTTCAAAGCTGATTGACAGTGGCTTAATAACAACACCTGCCAGCTCCCTTAGCACCCCTGGGTGTATCCCATCAGTGCCCATGGATTTATGAGTATTAAGTATGTCTAGCTGATCTCTAATCTAACTATCTATGACCAGGGGAAGCCTTCCTTTCTCCAGCCTTCTTCTTTTACCTCTGAGGTCAGGAACTCCTGAGGGCTGCCCTCAGCAGTAAAGACTGATGCAAAGGGATTCAGTAATTCTGCATTCTCTGTGTCTTCCATTATTGGGACATCCACCTGATTCAGCAGCAGCCTCACATTTTCCCTAAACTTCCTTTTGCTTCTGATGTACTTGTAAAACCCCTTCTTGTTGTCCTTGATATTCCTTGCCAGACTCAATTCCAAGAGAGGCTTGGCCTTCCTAGTCATATCACTCCATACTTTGACAATGTTCCTATAATCCTCCCACATGGCCTGTCCCTTTGTCCATGTCCCATACATTTTTTCCTCCATTTGAGATTTGCTAGAAGCTTGTGAGGGCTCCATCTGTTTTACGGGTGCTGTGCCACAGGACAACTGCACCCTCCTCACACAAAACCAGCTACACACAAGCTGCTGCTGTTCAATGCTTTTTATTGGCTAACCAAGCTTGGGGGGCTGGGGAGGGGTGATGCACTAGAGGGTCTAGGGGCGTCAGCCGAGGGTTTGGTTGGGATGGCTGAGGGTGCAGAGCTTCACTCCTCATTGAGTCCCTTCTGATGGAGAAGGAGAAAAACGGAGTGTGATAATGAGGTAGTTGTGGGGCAGCCATGGGGCAGCTGTGGGGCACTTTTTATTGGCTAACCAAGCTTGGGGGGCTGGGGAGGGGTGATGCACTAGAGGGTCTAGGGGCGTCAGCCGAGGGTTTGGTTGGGATGGCTGAGGGTGCAGAGCTTCACTCCTCATTGAGTCCCTTCTGATGGAGAAGGAGAAAAACGGAGTGTGATAATGAGGTAGTTGTGGGGCAGCCATGGGGCAGCTGTGGGGCAGGGGAGGTCCCACCTTGGCTCCAATGGCTCTTGGCCTGACCTGGGACTCGGCGATTTCAGCACGCTCCTCTGCCTCATCCAGCTCGTGCTGTGCCTTGCGGAACTTAGCCAGATTGGTGTTAGCCTGTTCCTCCTGGGGGGGAAGGTGCAAACGTATGGCTGCCCCAAAGCTCCAGCTGTCCTCCTGTCACCCCACCTCAGCTTGTTCCATTCAACCTTCTTATTGCTCCTTCTGGCCCACCGTGGATCCACCTGGTCCTTCCAACCATCTGCTCAACCATTCATCTATTCATGCATCTATCCAACCTTCACAGATCCCACCATCAGCGCTCCATCACACCACCACCTACCCTCCTCACTCTCTGACAACCCAACTCTTGACCAACTCATCTTAAGGTCCCTGCTACTCCCCACACCTTCTTCCACACCACAATCACACACTATTGCGTCCCAGGGGTTGGTCCCACAGGTGCCCTGCACTGCTCACCGCCTCCTCTGCCTGTCGCTTGTAGGCCTTGACCTTCAGCTGGAGCTTGTCCACCAGATCCTGGAGCCGGACCAGGTTCTTGCGGTCCTCCTCCGTCTGAGGGGTGAGACACATGTAGGTCACAACCTGGCCCCATCCATGCTTTGGATCACCACAGAGCAATGAGGGTCAGGAGACAGTTTATGATATTCCTGAGGAATGGAGCCCCTCTATCGAAGTAAGTGGCCTCAGCTGTGGGAGTGGAAGGGTATACCCCTGGAAGGTGTCTTCTTAGCTCTGATGTGGTACCACATGAGATTCTGGATCATGAACAGAGCCTGTGGATGCTGGGATAGCAGGACACTAGGCCTACTGTGTTTTTGGTCCCACAACAGTATCGAACATAGAGGCAGTGGGTGCCCCACCTGGTAGCTGAGCTCCTTGACACGACGTTCAGACTTGCGGAGACCCTT